TCTGAGTCTATGCCTGTCTTGTTCTATTGTGGCCCCACAAATGAGTGAGAATTGGGTCTTCTAAAGCTGGTCTTCCTCTTTCTGTGGTGCAGCTGGTAAGGCTACACTTTACTCTTGCATTTGCCGTTGCTGTTGTTTGGTTACAGGCAAAGTGATTATTATCCCCATTAGTAATATAAATGATTTCAGCACTTTGTTTTACAAATCCTCATGCCTCAAGGTATGTATTTTCACATCTAGCAGTGAAGGGTTTATTTTCTTTTTCTTTGATGTCTGACCTGTTCTTTGGCTCATCTTTGTAAGAATCCAGATTAGTTGTTTCACATGCTTCCTTGATAATTTTGCAGTTTGCATAAGCAAAACRTATCTGGCAGCTGGTGCTGTTGTATAGTTGTTCTCACCTCAACAGTACTGTTGTGTTCTTRCCTCTTTCTTCATAAAGATAGATCTACTGCATTTATCTTAATTAAATAAATKCTTTTTACAGAGTGTGGATCAGAACAATTTTTGAGACCTGCTTGAAGGGAGGTACATRTCATACTTTCTTCTTTGGCACTTCTGAAGTTCTGCAAGGAAGTGTTAAAAAATGTCAATGACCTCACTCTTTTCATTGTAAATAACTTTGATGGTATTTCAGCTTCTGAAACAARGCACTTGTTTTAGAGTGTCATTTAGATTCCTTGCTATGTTTGACAACCTTGTTTCCTCAACCTTCTTTGGAAACAGAGCTTGCTCAGTGAAGCATTAAACTGAATAAAAGGAAAGAGGAATGTTACTTGTTAAATGAAATACTTTGGGTTTGATGAGTACCGCTCAGAGAGAAAGTATCAACTTGCACATCCCTTAAAACATAAAGTAACTAGTTTAACGTATTTTTACCCTTTTAAAGTTGCCACTTTAAAAACACAATTAGCAAAATTAATCYTCCTTGTTCTTATCCCATGTGGGACATTACCATGCTGACCTCAAGTATTATTTTCAAGTAGGACTCCTATTTTTAAATCACCTTTTAAAAGAGGCTCCTAAACAAAAAWTGTGTACTCGGAACAGACTCTGGAGTCTTCTGAATGTTATGAAAATACCTGTCCTGAAAGGACCCTCCAAAGGACTGAGTCTTTGAAAGGCAAATAATTGCATACAGTGAACTGAAGTACAGTTTTGTAARTTTGGAGTGGGCCTCTGATCTCGGAGTGCCTTTCACACAGCCYACGTTAAACTCCTTGCACCAAACTAACCTGCCTTGAACTGGTGTACAAAACCAGCTGTCTTTTCTGTGCATGCAGTTTAAACTCTTTGATGAGATGCAATAGGTGCAGAAAGTGCAGTCCTGCAGAGAGTTATCCTAAAGYTATCTTTGAGCAAGGTAATGTTGGTCATAATATCTGATTTTACTATTTTTTAATAATAATACTGTGGCTATGGTAATGAAATGTGGGATTTGGAGTAAGTCTGTTACAAAGGAGATTGGGGCTGAAACACTTTGTTTAGATTTGGTCAATTTAATTTCTTGTGCAGTTTGCAGCTTGAAACTGAAGCTACACAAGCTGTGGAGTTTTATTAATTATCCTATGATTTCTATTTGAAGGAAAAGAAAGAATATGCAGAAAACATACTGCAGCCAAGTAGATGCTGAGTATCTTTAGAAATAAAAAAAAAACAATCATTGTAGCATATTGGGTTTTTTTTGAAATTTACTTTATTGCAATTACAATTGTCTCTACSATTTGTGCTTGTTATTATATATAACAGAGCTTGAATAAAATAYGTTGATATTCATGGAAATAACTGATGGAAAAGTCTCATGAAATGAAGCATTTTGCCCCGCTGTGTTATGCAAAGGGGAMTGCTAGCCTCTGAGAGCCAAGTGGGCAGAGTCAGAGTGTGAAAGAGCTGGCCAAAGCCATTGCATGGCTGTTCATTTTTTTGAAGGTCCTTGTGATGGAGGGTGGTTCTTGGTGACTGGAAGAAGGTACGTATGGCCATTTGTAAGAAGAAGGGTCCAGGGACTGCAGGTTGATCAGCCTAACRCTGGGCCCTGAGAAGATTAGGAAGTGTGTCCTGAAAGGATAAGGAGATGATTTGGATCAGTTGACATGGGTTTATCAAGGACAAACCAACTTAGCTTTTGATAAGAAGTGACTGACTCTATGGGTGGAGACAGTGGTCAGAGTGAATTGACCAAAATTGCAACATGGGAAATATTGAACAGAAAACAAGCTAAAAGTTTCCAGGAGAACAGTCAAATGTTGTGCAGGAATATCTGGAGGGGTTTTGTAATTGTGGAAATGCTCRAGACTGTTTATAATCCTGTGCTTTCCCTAATGTTGAAGTATGTGTTTTTTTTCTTCACTTAGTACTTGAATTATCCTTTGTTTTTCATTTTTGCTGAACAGACTTCAAAGAAAGAGTAGCAGAACTACTGTAAATTGCTTCAAACAAGCCTATGTGTCTGGAGTGGGAGGCAGTCTGGCATTTCTGGCTGGGGCCCTTTCCTAGGGACATRGAGCTGACTGTGATGGTTGGAGCTGATGGCTGTTGCTGCTACAAGATGGTGGAGCAGTGGTGGCTGTGGAGAAAAGATTTCAAAGMCTGGTGTTGGTCCCTCCAGTTGCTTATGCTGAGAACATCCACTGCCCCTTTCCCTGTTTTTTGCTGTACTCTGCTATATTGTGTTATCCTTGTCTTCTAAACATAGAAAAGACTCTGTGAACCATAYTAAGTTACAAATGTGCTCAGTCCTGACAGGCTCATTTGTTTCCTCCTGCAGCTAACTGGGTTAACCCTCCTGGGTTTCTCCTGCATTACCAAAATATTTCTTATTTACTGTAGAACCTTTGAACCTTCTCATTCTTGTTCTGTTCAGAAATGTTACATTTCCAGTATGCAAGGTGATTAACTAATCTTCTATGCAGTGTACCCTGAATTATATATAAAATACTATAATATACAAGCTTCAAGACTTTATATTTATCAGAAATTACATTTAAGTTCTCCTATTTGTTTTGAAACATTTCTCTCAAACTCTTTAAACTGATCAGATTCATTTTTAGGGAATGTGCAAACTGTATGGTGTACTTACTGTTGCATGTCAAACTGCCATTTGTCATATGATCATTGGAGAAGTRAACAAAAGTGGTTTTTTTGGTTGGCAATTAGTGATTTCTTGTTATACTATAGCTGTATTATTGTGTGGCAGTGATTTTTTAAACTGGGAATTGTGTGCCTTTAAAAGGTTTTTGAAAGATGCAGTTGTAATTGTTTTTTGAAATGTCTCTGAAGCAATGGTGCACSAGGTAGATAAAACATGGGCTTTCCCCCCCCATCTTATATTTCAAGGCTGTATCAGAGTTGTGAAGATTAAATGAGCTGAAGCTGCACTGTTTAGACAAAACAAAAACACATCTGAAGAGGCATAAAAGTTCTTAAGAGAAGAAGATGCTTGTGGAAAGTGATACTTCAGTTGGTTTGGTGTTGCCTGATACGGAGATGAGATGAATATGCCTGAAATATTGGAAGAAGCTTTGATGGGTTTCTTTTGGTGTACTTTGGGAAAAGAACTGTTACTAAAAGTTTAAGATTGGTGAATTTGACAATTGTGGTTGGAAAGATGGAAGATTAAGCAGGGTGGTATCCAGGCTGCATCTGTGGTGTGTTTTGTCTTCATCTGGATGCTGAGAACCTGCCCTTCTGCAGTAGTGCTTAAACAGTAAAATGTGAGTGAATGGTAGTTGAGAAAAAAATAAATGTCAGTTTAATATGAATATCTTACCCAGCACACCATATAAAAAACATAAATGGAAAAACAAGTGCTCCTTATGCATCTTATGCATTTCCTACTTGTCTAGTCTCTTAAACCTTCTCTTGAAGAAATTGTGGTTTAAGAATCAACAAAGGGCTGGAAGTTTTAAGGAAGAAATTGTAGGCTTTTGCCTTTCTGCTTGGCAGGACACCTTACCAGACAGAAGRTTGTAACTTCACACAGTCCTCATAGCTTACTGTAGAATGGTATTGTACTCAAATTTCTTACACTTAAAAGATAATGCTGATGCAATTGTACTTCCTGAAATACATGTACATATATTCCTGAGGGAAAGCTTTTCCTCTAGAGTAACACCAACTTCTGCATGCTCTGGTCTTTCTGTCCCTTTCCATAACTTCTAGGGACTTTGCTAAAGGTGGTGAGCACTTTTCTGACTCCAAATCTTTTGCCTTTTCTCTTTTAAAAAATGTATTTAATTTATTGTTGTTACATATTTGTATTACATATTCAGACATTGTTTGCAAGTCTTTTCAAGTCCCAGGTATTAAGGTGATGACTTCTACAGGACTCTTCCAAATAGAGGAAAAATGCAACACATTTTCAGTAAAAGAAGTTTAGTTGTCACCTGGATAAGGGTGAGATAGAGCATTACCAGTGTCTTGAATTTTGGAAGTGTGCTGGATGCAGCTTTGCTAGGSAGCCTGGTAATACATTCTGCCTACWAGTCTGAGAAGTGGTGGTAAGCCCTAGGAAACAGGGAGAGAGATGAGAAATGGGCTGTCATACTGAAGACTTGGCATGGCTGGAGCCTTATCAAGGTCTGAGGGAGATCTACAGAGAAAACATGTATGATCACAGACATCGTGAGGGACATATAACTTCAAACAAATATTTTCATCCCGTATCAGTATCCATATTTGAAACCAGTTTTTTTGTAAASTGATTATCAAAAGTGTCTGTTGTTATGTTCAGAAAGCTACTTGGAATCAAGTGCTGCTTTTTGAGGAGAAAAGGGAGAATACTGACTTCAGGTTACTGTTTTAATTCTCAGGAGACTTGATTCTACCGTGAATCAGGCAGGCAAAAGACAAATGGAGAAGGAAAACAAAGTATCACACGACGTGATAAACCTGAACACTTAATACCGTGTTTGTTTTTGTTACTTTGCATTTAAAATTCAGTCAATGTTAGTGAAATTAAATTATTTCTAATACTTCCTGTGTTTGTTATTTTTACAGATGACATGGCAGAGCTTCTTCTTGGGGAGTCCAAACTAGAACAATTTTTGAAGGAAAATACTCTTAAACACAGTAATAGTCCACGGGGCCCCCAGCCAAAGCTGACTGAGGTCAGGAAACATCTCACRGCAGCCCTTGACAGGGGAAATCTCAAGGTATGTAAGTCAGCCTGAGCAGGAATTAGAAAAGTTGAAATTGACTGAAGTATTGAGGAAAGGTTCCTTAAATTATGTTTGCAGGTACTGAAAGTGAGATAAATATAAGAGAGCATCTTCTGTCAGAACCTTCTGATGTTCTGGTCCTTCTTTTACTTAACTATTGTTGTAGCTGCTACATCAGCTTACCTCTTCTGTACTCAAMATCCATCTTTTGAGAGATCAAAAGAAGCTTATTTTACAGTCATCTGTAATATTTTGTTTTCTGTGGCTTCTGAGAGTATTAATTTCTCTGTATTTTCTTCATTCTTCCATTAATTCTTTTTTTCAAGATATTTATTCTACTCTGATACTTTGAAATGGTGTGAATTAAATATGTAAGCTGTGGAACATATATGATTAAGTTTGGRTGCTGTGTTATCTTCAACTGTGCTTGTGGTGTTAGAAAAAGAAATCATTGGAGGAGTTGTAATCATAGGCTGCCTTTAAGTTTTAGCACCTGGCAAAGCTGGTTTCCAGCYGAGAGGTATTTCTGGTACACGTGTAAATAAGTATGTGAATATCTAAAATGACTGGTAAWGCTTTTCATTAGCTTGCTGGAATGAGATTAAGTGAATTCCCCTGCTTCAAGCTTCTCTAATGTTATATAAGACAGGGTTTTGTTCATTTGTTGCTCTATTAGAAGACATATTCTAGGGGTGACAGAAAACACACTTAATAATCACCAGAAAGAATTTAGGTGTATTTTCTCAGGGAAAACCCTTTCTTATKTCTCTTCCTTCTAGCCAGAATTCCTACAAGAAGCTAACCTAATAATGGCCAAATTAAACTATGTGGAAGGTGATTACAAAGAAGCTCTGAACACATATGCCAGAGTTGGTGTTGATGACTTGCAGCTGACTGCAGTGCCACCGTATCGGCTACGGATGATTGCTGAAGCATATTCTACAAAAGGTAAAATTGCTTTTTTCCAGTATCATAATGTGGAAATAGATTTTTAAAAGTTAATTTATATCTTGCCCAAGGATGAAGGATTTTTTAGTGTGAGTGTCCTCTACACAGTATTGGAGTRCCATATTTCTAGGTGAAATTAGAGGATGGTTTGGGTCCTTTAAATTATTCAGAGTTTGTGCTAGGTTGACAAGAATKTTACCTCCAGTAATATTCTAACTGTGTTCTCACCTGATCAAWTTTTTTGAGTGTGTGTATTTAAAAGTACTTCCATATATAAATGTCACACTAGTTGTGTCTAGATACTAAAAGTACTATCACTGCTGCTGAAAGTTAAGGGTTACAGAGTGCAGTGYAGTTTTCTGGTGGCTGTGGGCAGAATGAAGAACCTTGATTCACCTTTTTCTAAATGTTAAAACCATCAACTGAAGCTGGGTTGCAAAGCTAAATTGCCACTTAATTGAAAAGAGTATTAATAACATAACTGACTTAAGACAATGCATCMCTTGTGCAGTTTTATTTCTAAATTTTTCTTATGTGAATATAGGATTTAAGAAAAAATTCAGAAGGTGAAAATAATTAGAAAACATTTTCTTCTTTACTACTCTAGTATAGCGAAAATTGTAATGCTGGCCTTGTGTCTTAAGGTGGCACTGCCACTTCAGTTTGGAAAATTGTAAGAGCCTTAGGGCTGGTCAGTGTGCTGGGGAAAATGGCAATTTGTGTGCTAGGGTTTTATTAGAATATGCTGAGCTGAGTATGTGCTTTGGTCTGCTGTGTTTAAGCTTGGATTTCATTGTATATGTACTTCTTGTTATTGCAAGAGGAATGTGAAAGGCAGCAAACAATTTGCGAGAGACTTCAGTAGCTTCGATTGACAGCTGATCCAGGATTGTTTCTAATGTGAGTCTTGGAAAAGAATGGCTGTTTTCCACCAACACAATCCTCTACTGAATGTCAGACAAGCATGAATCATGTCCTRTAGAGATGACAAGGAAATAGGGCAACTAACTGGTAGCAGAGACAAAAGGATGCTTCATAAGTCTGGTCACCATTTAGATTAAAGTGGGAAGTGGGAATATAAGGGGAGTTCTAGTACACAATGAAAATCTGACCAGGTTTCTTAAACATCATTTCTGTGGGCTTTGGGATAGTGTCTGCTTTGGGTAGACTTCCACTCAGCTTTGTGGATTTTGGCTGTTCTTTTTGTTTTGGTTTGKTTTGTTTTTTTTAAATCTATGAGGAGGTCTGTTGAATTTGTCATGTTCTTTCCATGGACTTGATCAACGTTAAGTACCTCAATTTGCTTGTATCTCCAAGGAATCACAATAATTTAATTGAATCTTTTCCCAGAGTTTAACTCTTCTGGCCCTGTTTTATTTGGCCTCTTAAAGATATAAAACAGTTGTAACCACAGTGGCATGAATTTTGCAGAAAATTTTAGTATTATCCATTGTACTTAATTTAAACATAGTGTACTAGAAAACAGAAAAATATATATCCTTCCTACTCTGGAATATTTTGTAGATTCAGACTTTAAAAAAAAAAAAAAAGAACAGAAAGCAGCATATCTTCTGTCTAGACATGTTTTTTTCTTCTGGTTTCAAATTTTTTTCTTTAAACTTTGAAATTGTCRTATGAGGTCTGATTTATCTTGATAGGACTTCATTACTTTGGTACTTCAGTGCCATGACTGGTGTATCTGAGCAAACTGAGCAAACTATTTGGKCTCTTGTGTTGTTTTTTCATATTCAGAAACATCTTTTTTTGCTATTTTGTTTGCAATTTGAATGAAATTGTRGCATGGTTTGAGTTGGAAGGGAYCTTAGAGATCATCTTGTTTCAATCCCCACTGCTATGGGCAGGCACATCTTTCACTAAACCAGGTTTCTCAAAGCCCCATCCAAGCTGACCTTGAACACTCCCAGGGGTGGGGTATCCCCAGCTTCTCTGGGCAAGCGGCTCCAGTGCCTCACCACCCTCACAGAAGGCCATTTCTTCCTGTCCTGATTGCTAATCTAAACCTTCCCCCTTTCAATTTAAAGCCATTATCCCTTGTCCTGTCCCTGTAAGCTCTTGTAAAAAGTCCCTCTCCACCTTTCTTGTAGGCCCATTTAGGTGCTGGAAGGTGATTTAAGGTCTGCCTAGARCCTTCTCCAGGCTGAGAAACCCCTGCTCTCTAAGAAGATTCAAAAATTTTAATTTCTCTTCTTCTCATGGTAAAAGGATGCAAGAATAYAGTCTTTTGTCTGTTCTAGAATGAGGGGGTAATCACAGAACAGTCTTAAATTCAGTATTCAAAGTCTGGACATGTTTAGAGTAGTTGACGATTAAATAGCATATGTTTCCACCTAGTAGTGTACATTTAATTCTCACTCTCTTTCCCCTTTCTGGTGGATTCTTTCTTTCTCCTTTTAATAGTGACCTGTAAACTTAAGGGTCTGAATTTGGAGTCTCTTCAGAGGTGACTGAGGCTTGTAGGTATTACCCAACTAAATACAAGTTATTCTTACAGAGATTTTGTGCTTCACTGGGATTTGTATTTCTGCTTGTGTGCTGAGGGATAACTGGATTATAAAAAGAGATAAAACTCCTCATAGTATTTAGATTTTATTTCTTCAGCAGTCATAGAATCATGTTAGTAAGCAGTGAGGGACTGTCTATGCCTGTTTGCAAGCATTGGCCCAACTGCACCAGTTAGTGCTGCAGCCTGCAAAAGCTGAAAGATACCTGATGAAATTACCCCATTTGAATTCAGTTCCAGCAGATTTGAAGTTTTATATGCTATTATGTAGTGGTCCAATATGGATGTTATCACTGATAATGGCAGTGGGCAGATAACTACTGGTAGTTTTTAATTGCCTTGAAGTTTTTTTTCATTATTTAAGGTGGGACCACCTCCAAGTATTTACCTTTTCACTCTGAGGTTTCATTCTGTAACCTCAGAGGTGAYAGGTTGAGAGGGATGCCTGAGTTGACATGTTTCTTGTTGTTACAGGGTACTTAAGTGAGCATGCTGCACTGTAACCATAGACAGTTCCACAGCTCCCAACAAGCCCTTGGGAATGACCTGCTTTCCATATGGCTCATCTTACTCTTGCACGTGGAACATACAAAATATGTCTTTCTGTTCTTCACAGCAAAGGGTCAGTGYGTTGTATGGCTGCAACAAAGTACAAAATGGATTCAGGGTCAGGTTCAAGTTTTTTGCTGGAGTTTTATCTACTGATAGCTAAAAAGAAAGGGAAAAGGAGCAGCAGTAGCGACAATGGTGGGGAGGAAAAAAGTGGGATTGGAACATGGAAGGGGAAACCAGAGAACTAAAGCCATCAAAAGCCACCAGACAGCTACTGCCTGTGGCGCACTCATGAAAGGAGTCTTCAAATTTTTTATTTCATAAATAAGTTAATTGCTTATATATACATCTTTGAAAGAATACTTTTAATTCTTTATGAAGCTTATGGCATTAATTGAGGACTGCATATTTAGAAGACTAAATATGAGAAGAGGTGTAATATGGAATGATAGTAAGTCAAGCCAAGGATTCAAAGACTCTCAAACACAGCAATGAAGATTAAATGATCGTTTTTATTGGAAATGTCTAGTTAGTGAAATGCTGCTTCAGATCTTGCAAAGAAAATTCCTTGCTAGATTTGTGAAAATGCAACATTGTAAAATTTCAAAAAATGTTAAGAAAATCCTATTAAAGTAGCTTTTAAAGTRTTTTCTATTTCCATTACATGTGGCTCTTTGCCAGCCTGTGATGTGCAGGGAATCACAGGGTCTCAGTGCCCGAGAATTGCCAGAAAGTGGTTCCTTTCTATTACTCCTGGGGAAAGTGTTCAAAGTTGATGTGGTGATAAAGGCACGACTGTATTTTATCAGACTGAATAGCTTGTGGACAGGTTGTTTGGTTTTAGTTTTTTCCTGGCTTCTGGTAACAAAAATTGCTTGTAATAGTAATGTCTTGAGCTTTATCGTGACTTGAAGACAATGTAGGATGATCTGATGAAAAGTTATCTGCTGCTGTGTCCATTAAAACAACAGAGAACAGACTAACCATGTGAATGCATGAGGCAAAGCCTCAGGAGCTTGGTTAGTATCATTCTAATATTTTCCTGCCTTTCTTCACAGTTTCCTCAAATTCATATTAAAAACRGAATTGTAGTAGAAGATGATTTTGTTTTTTGTAGTTAACTTCATGGACTAGCATACTTATCCTTACAATGTTTCTGTGTGTGTGTGTGTGCCTGTAGAAATCWGTTCTGATTACACCTAGTGTATTCGTTAAGGAAAGAACTAATTTTAATGCTGTGCTTCTGAGTAATGATTCTGTATGGGTATGTAGAAGGTGTTGTGTGGGATAGAGWTTAGTTAAATCATAGTTTTTGTATTATATATGTGTTTTTTAAAAATTCAAATATTACTTGAAGACATTCAGTGGGACATTTTAAAAATATAATATAAAGTATAAACTGAAAAGATGGAACTTTTCAAATCAATGTACCACTTAGTATTTGCAAAAACATGAGGATACTTATTTGGATCTGTTGATTAGCTTTTCCCTCATCTGCTTGTAAATTCATTTGACACATAAGCAGAGGAGAAACATCCAATAAAACAATTTTCTGTAGTGGAATGTCTCTGGTTGGAGTTGCCAGCTTCTTTCAAGAGGGTGTGATGAGGGGGAGAAAAATAGGTGTAAAAAGATGACAGTGYTGAGGAGATGGGCAGGTTTGCATGACTCTGTGGGGACAATGTGTTARCCTGAGAGCAGGTGTATGAGCATTGCTGGAGCTGGCTCGCTGATGCTGTTGCCTGTTGGTTACAGGAGCACTTCATACCTCTATTAAGAAATTTTAAGGGGCAGCACAGAAAAAAGCAGATTCTTTATCTTCTGACACAAATATAATTTGGATGTCAATACTGTTAATTAGAGCTGTCTTATGCAGAGCAAAGCTAAGGAATTGAGGCTGGACAGGGGGAGSAAGAAGGAAAAAGTC